GTAAACCGTGTCTGTGTTCCCTTCTTAGCTGCGAGTGTTGTAATGTTAATCTCTCAGATCCATTTTAATATTGTCCACCCACATACGCTTTAGTCTTCCCAGTGGTCTCTTTCCTTCTGGCTCTCCCACCAATATCCTATATGCATTCCCTTTCTCCCCTGTTCGTGCTACATGCCCTGCCCACCTCATCCTCCCTGACTTGATCATTCTAATTATGCTTGGCGAAATAACTGTAGCTGTAGTCTACATGAAAGGAAATTATGCAGGTCGAGGACATAACGTGTAATGAGATTGTTGCATTTTGAATGCGTCGCAGTTGTCTACACGCGATTGAAAGACCCCGTCAGTTCATGTGGTGGCGACGCGCACAACCAGGAAGCGCGACACGGATCTTTGCGGAAGCATGTGCGAGATGCACAGTTCTGTATCCCATTTTCGCCTGTAAAAACACACAGGTCGATAAACCTGCCTGGTGGGAGGTTTGACGGCTGATACCTCCAATTTCTATTACAGCGAAGAAACTATAAATGTCAGTTTGTGTAGTTGTTTAGTTTGAAACTAAAATTATATCTCTGTCAGAGGGAATGGTATACTACGGCATGTCTTCTGAAAGCCAGAATTGTGAAGACAGCAGAGACGGCCTTTGCTAGGGAACATCTCCGCAAATACGCCCGTTGCTAAGCAGTGGTTCATTAGCTGCCAACTGATCGCCTCAACAGACACGCACGCAATAATGGAAGAGACGATTTCTGTGCGGTCATTGCCGAGGACCGGCTCCCACAGTCTTATGCCTGCTGACTCTGACAAACGACAGACCTGTCCTCTCGTCAGAGAGGGCCCCACTTCAACAAGCCTGCAATTGCCGCACATAAATAGAGATCTGGTCTTAAACCCCAGATGGGTGTTTTCTTTTTTCCAACACAGACTGGCCGACTGACCGTGGGTCGTAACGTAACATTGACTCTGACTTTGTTTACGAGACAGTTAAGACTGCAGTCAGATGCCCGGCAGCCTGAGAGGAACTTCCACGGTTACCAAGCAGCGCAGAGAAGACCGTGACTGGGAACAGAACATTAGGTTTTGTGTGTTTGTGACTTGTGAAGTGTAGTCACGAGTCCAGTAAATCCAATTACCAATCCAAGCCCCGTCTATAACCCCACCCACACGTGACAGTACATAACATGTTTGAAAACAAGGAACCTGTTAAAATTTCCGGTGTTATTGAATATGAAGTAGATACAGGAATGGAAGAAATCATGTGGTGGCCTTGTGTTGAGGCACGCTGTATCGCACTTGGTTGAGTCACTACGCTACAAGCCGGAAGGTATCGGGTTTAATTTCCCATTAGGTCATTGGATATTTCAATTGACATAATCCTTCCAGCCGCGCTATGGCCCTGGAGTCTACTGTGCAAGTATAGGACAGCCGGCGTGTAAGGGTGGATAGCCTCGACGTCTCACACCCCTATGGGCCTCCACGGCGTGTTACAGGGATAGCTTTACCTTATCCATTTCTTGTGCTGGCAACTGCTCTGAAAGCCCATAAACCGCTTATGTAAAGGGTGCCGAGAATAATTGCCTTCGCCTCACCGCAGAAGTTCGCGCCTGTACATACTCCATGCTATGCTTTGTCTTTTTACATTTTTCGTAGTGGAAGGAAACGGGACTGAACATGTCCTTCGGAGCTAAGGATCATGTTGATAATACCGTCAAGATGATGGTGTTAATGGTAGGTCCCGAATTCGAAATTAGAGAAGTACGGCATATGGCGAGTAATCGTGAACTCTTGGAAAGGGGAGTAGTCGCACAGGGTTCTTTCATTTGGGTTTACGAGGGCAGCCGACCCGACGCTGTGTAGCTGTAGTATAATTGAAGGTCGGAGCAGAACTATATCCATCAATAAAATTCAGTCCGGATATTGCCCTCCGCCATCAATTGCGCATGCTCCCACCTGTCTGCCCGGACCTTGGGGGGGCCACTGACATTTTAACATACAGCGGTGTTGGGTATTGTGACTCATCCTGTTCCTCCATATCTGTCTGGATCGATACAGTGGTGCCAAAGGGTTCAAGACATTCATGAGCGTTTCACTAACATAATTGCATATTCATATCGAAAGGCAGCCATGTTGGTGGGGCCCTTGTCACCACGGCATGGCGCGTCCTCAGGTTGCGGGTAGAGGAGGCAACCTCTAGTTGTGGAGGGTAAAAAGTAAAGTTGTCCCTGCGCTTAACTAATTAAGCACTACACCATGAAGGCGTATGAGGAAGTGGACGCGTAGATCCACGTACTTCTGACCTTGGCACTCGCTGGAGGTGAGTGGTCAGCTTCACAACCCGGCCGTTTTAATCCCGGTACCCATTGGAAAGCAGATAGGATGGACTCTAGAACCGGTCTTGATGACTTGAAGAACATAAAATCCTTGATCCTACCGGGACTCGAACTCTGGCCCCTCGGTCCTTCAGTCTGTAGCCAGTCGCTATAAGGACTGTGATATGGAGGCTAATTGCGAATGCATTGAATAGGCAGTCGCGGACAGTCGACTTGAGGGTGTCTTCCAGCTTCGTTTGGGCGTGGAACTGACAACTCGTCGCAAAAAGTAATTTGTTACGAAATGTCAGAAAGGGCCTCGTACCTGAGGGCTCTTGTGAACACGGTGATGAAACTTCGGGTTCCATAAAACGCTGGGAAGTTTATGAGTAGCTGCATAACTGGCAGTTTCTGAAGAAGGGCACAGCGACATGAAGTTAGTTTTTAGTTAGACGTTGAAGGGCAGATGGAAACAGCAGCGCCCTTCCACAGATTCGTTAAGAGTTTCCGTTTTACCTCATTTCGGTCACAGGCCGCTGTAACGCGTCCTTGTAACTGTTAATGACTCCGGATCTTGCGATTTCATGGAGTGAATGTGGTTAGTACCATAATACGGCGTCGTGAGGCAGCACTGTTCTCTTACAATTTGGCAGTGGGGGCGGCAATAGGAACCACGGGCTCACGAAGTGGTTTTTTTTTGGGGGACTTACCCTTTATTACTGAAGGTAGGTGGAGGACTTGCACGTATGAAACAAAGTACTCGAGATAAGTTTGTCATTGCATCTGATTTTCTTTTTACATCTTTACATGGGATCAACACGCTGAACTAACATGCCCGCCATTAATGATGGTGCCTTCAGTGTCTTAAGGAGTTATAGTTCGTCTAATACATTTTTTTCCAACTTGATATTTTCATATGGTACAGGGTAGTGAAATGGAGGGCTCTTGTGAACACGGTAATGAACCTTCGGGTTCCTTAAAATGCTGGGAAATTCTTGAGTAGCTGCAGAATTGGCGGCTCCTCCAGAAGGGCTCAGCTCCATGAGTAAGTAAGTAAGAGGGCAGTAAAAGGTAGAACCTATACTTAAATTACTTGAATTGTTTTTTAAATTCGAGGGAAGGAAGTTAATAGTGACGAGTAATTATGGATTCGTGAAATGTATATTCAGTATTTTGCACATATGTGTTTATAATGGGGAAGAAGACGATCCAGTTTTACCTTAGGAACGGTTTATATTTGATCGTTTAGTAAAAACTAGTATATTGCAGTTTATTAATCTCTGTGAGATTTTTTTATGCTGTATGTTTTTGTAGTAGACCTTGAAATTAGTTGCTGTTATAACGAATAAGATATTCCTTATATATGGGGTACGCGGTAGCTTAGTTGTTCGAGGCACACTGCTACAAGCTGGGAGGTCGCGGGTTCGATTCTAGACAAGTCATTCAATTTTTTTTCAATCGACCTAATCCTTCCAGCCGCACTGTGGACCTGGAATCGACTCAGCCCCTAACAGAAACGAGTACCAGGAATCTTCCTGAGGGCTAAGGATAACTGGCACATAAGGCTGACCTCACTGCCGTCTGCGAACAGATTGTCTTGAAAATGTGGGAGCTTTAACTTCTCTCGCAACTTTACGGGCATCCACGGCCTGTAACAGGGATATATTTACTTCGCCCCCCCCCCACATTTTGTATATCTAATCCTGCTCTTACACATATAGGAGGAACCGGGATAGCGCAATCGGTATAGAGACTGGCTACCGGCTGGACAACCAAGGGGTAGGAGTTCGAGTTTCAGTAGGGCCAAAATTTTTCACTTCACGTCATGCAGACCGGTTCCGGGGCCACCCAACCTCCTATTCAATGTGTACCGGGAGCTCTTTCCCCGGAGGTAAAGCCGCCGGGGCGTGAAGCAGACCACTCACCTCCGCCTAGTGCCGAGGTGAAACGAATGTGGCTGTATACGCCTTCATGGCGTAGCGCTTATTTGGTTAAGCACAAGGACAGCTTTACATTACCCATGTAGGTGTATGTACATTGGGAAGATATTAATGTGGATTTTAGAGAGATATGATTGGAATGGTACGAGTTGGATTTTTGTGGCTCAGAATGCGGACCGCAGAAGGGTTCTTGCGAACACGGTTATGAGTCTTCGGGTTTCATAGAATTTTGGAAAATTTTTGAAAATGTGTCGCAACTGGCGGCCTTTCAAAAAGGGTTTAGTTGTCTGTAGTCATCTCAATGGGGATACGAAATTAATTTTTCTTTAAGGAACGCATTTCTTTCGTCCTTCTAAAATGAATGGGCCGAGAAAATTTTCGATCCACCGCGCCATGGCTCAAGCGGGTAGTCGCTGGCTTCCCACTGCTTCGAACCAGGGTTTGATCAAGTGGGATTTGTGGTGGACAAAGTGGCGCTGGGGCAGGTTTTCTCCGAGTACTCCGGTTTCCCCTGTCGATCTTCATTCCACCAAATTCTCCATCATAATCACCCGGGGCAGGCTACAATAGGCCAATAAGTGGCCGCCGTGCCGAGTGGACCCAGTTGGACTCCGCCGCCACTAAGCAAATTTAAAACATTTGAAACATCTATCACATGTTAATAGTGTGTGGTGGAGGCTTAAGATGTGTTTGTTCCAATAAGCAAGGGTCTGTGTTTTGATATTTCATCATTGCGTTATGTCTTTTGCAGATCATTCCGTGTCGCAGCCAATCACAATGGTACCCCCACGTCGGTCGGGCAGCTTTCCTGGCAGTGACGCCTCCAACATCCTGTCGCCACGTTCCTCGGAGACCGGGGGTTTGGGTGTCAAGATGGTGGAATACGTCCTCAGGTCCTCTCCCACCGGCAAAGATCTCGAGCCCCGAATGAGAGGCCTCGTGTTGGTGAGTATGAATGCATGGCCCCAGGTCTTTCGTTACAAGTTTATGTGGGTACCAAGTCGTTCTTCCGGTTTGGGAGGTGTCAGTTTCGTATCCCGTTCCGGCGATCTGCTTAAGGGATCCTGATTGACTCCAGAGAAATGTTGGGATGTTACTTCGCCATCCTCACTGATAAAAGTATATTTGGTGGACACTAATGAAAAAAAGAACTCCGTGGCCTATAGTCCGCAAGCGAACTATACCGACCGAGCGACCGCTGCTTGTCGGCGTCGCTAGTGCCAACTTGCGGATACAGGGTGTCACGTGGTTAGCGCAAAGCATTACCACGGCCGTTAATCTCGTTCTTTTTAGACTGGAGCCGCTACTTTTCCATTCAAGTAGCTCCTCAGTTATCCTCACGAAGCTGAGTGGACCCCGTTTCACATATTTAGGTTTTTTGTTCTTAGGGCCGCGCCATAGCTCAAGCGGTTATTCGCTGGCTTCCCACCGCGGCGGCCCCAGTTCGATTCCGGGTCTGGTCAGATGGGATTTGTGGTGGACAAAGTGGCGCTGGAGCAGTTTTTTTTTCCGAGTACTTCTGTTTCCCCTGCCAGTCTTCATTCCACCAATTGCTCCACAATCACCCTCACCTCTCATCTGGGGCTGGTACAATAGACCAGAAGTGGCCTCAGTACAAGGGACTTAAGAGTCACCCCACTAGCAATAAAATATAGTTAAATCGTAAATAGACGTATTTAGACGTACCAGCTATAACCGGATTTGTGGACTATTTTTATCGAACGTTGCGTGCAGGTGACTGGCCGCTCCTGAAAGCGCGCTGCTGAGTTACCGGTCCGTGAATCGGAGGTTCAGAACCACTTCCTCAGAGGGCAGTACCGGTTAGGAGCTGCAGTCCCCCAATCGCCATGTTATCTACGAATGACATTGTTATCAGTTTTATTAAAGGATGTAATTGATCAAAGCTGATAGGTAAATTGATTGTGCCTTTATAATTCTTACCTACCGTGTATCGATTTTCACCGTTGGACACACATATCGGGCTGTCTGTACGTTTATAGACAGGCAGCTGGGGTAAAAGAGGCTTTGGACAGAAGTGCTGCCTGTTAGAGTTGATGTACTGAGTAGATGTGACCAGAAGGTACAAAGACACAGGGTGTTGAGGAGAATATTTGTAACGAAGAGGGACGAAGTGACGGGAGGGTGGAGAAAACTGCATAATGAGGAGCTTCATAACTTGTACTCTTCTCCAAGTATAATTAGAATGATCAAGTCAAGGAGGATGAGGTGGGCAGGGCATGTAGCACGAATGTGGGAGAAGAATGTGTATAGGATATTGGTGGGAGAGCCAGAAGGAAAGAGACCACTAAGAAGACGAAGACGTAGGTGGGTGGACAATATTAACATGGATCTTAGAGAGATAGGATGGGCTGGACTGATCTGGCTCAGGATAAGGGCTCGTTCGCTTGCGGACTACAGGCCACGGATTCTTAGAGGCGTGCAGTGCGTAGCACTTTCATTTGTTTAACATATTAGGGTCTCGAGAATGTACGGACCTAAAGCAGCTGGAAGCTATGCCGAGGTGTAGTGTCTTCGGGAAGTGACTGTATTCCAGTTTAACTGGCATGATTGGAATTGGCTGCTCCCTGAGTTTCGTTATGAGTTTGTGTGTGCGGAAATAATCAGTGGTACGCGGTAGCGCAGTTGGTTGAGGCACTGTGCTACAAGTCGGAAGGTCTCGGGTTCGAGTCCCAATGAGGCGAATTTTTTCAATTTACCTAATCCCTCCAGGCGCACTATGGCCTCAGTCTCAGCATCTAATACAAATGAGTACCAGGAATATCTGACAACCTCGCTGTCATCTGCGAGCCGATTGTCTAGAAGATGTGGGAGCCTCAACCTCTCACAACCCTATGGGCCTCCACGGACTGTTGCAGGCATAACTTAAAGGGAAGGTAAAGTTGCCCTGTGCTTAACTAATTAAGCACTACGCCATGAAGGCGTTTGGGGGAGTCGATGTATAGATCCACATATTCTTGACCTCAGCACTATTTGGAGGTGAGTTGTCAGCTTCACGTCCCGACCGCTTTAACCCCCGGTACCGTACCTCAAAGCCAGTCTGGACGACTGACCCTACCGGGATTTGAACCCCGACCCCTCCATCGTCTAGCCCGTAGCAATCAGCAGCGTACTGAAATATAATACGTGGCAGTGTGTATGTAGACTGTACGAGCCGTGTTACGCGTGAAGTAGGACATGTTTTCTTTCTTACCGATAACAAACCCGATAACTGTTTATAAAAGTATAATGATTGGCGATTTGACAGTCTGCAACCGCAGTCCGGTGCTACTACATATGGATGAGGGTAGTGGGAATGGTGTAGTTCGTTGGTTATTTGCGCTGCGTCACAGTGTATTTGAAATAATGGACTTACGAATTATTTGTCTTTGTCTAGTTGGTGATTCGGCTCAAATTGAATTCTATTGAATTTTGAATAGTTTCTCTTTGTATGTCCGTCGTATACCGGAAATAATGCTACGGAATAATTATTTTTCCTTATGCGGCACTTTGTGTAGTGTTAGTAGCCGGTGGTGAGCAGTGATTTGTTTCTTTGAGGTTAATCATGTGACTTCCTTACCGAGTAGATTTGCGCATGCGCGATCCATATATCTGTGGCGCTGTAGTCATTTTGTTTGTCCTTGACCGCTTTTTCAGGTTTTTAAACCTATACACGGTAGGACTCCTTGGACGGGGATCAGCCAGTCGCAAGGCCGCCACATGTACACAGAATAAACGCACAGACATCCATGCCCACGATCCCTGCATCCGAGCGAGTGAAGACATTTCATGCCCTAGACCGCGCGGCTACTCTGATGGGCGCATGCGCGTTCCGCGTGATTTAAATTGGAAGAATAATGCCTTAGTTCCTTTCGGCAGCCTCTTTTGATGAATAGCGGGACAGTATCTTAAATTGGCAGTAACCTCAACATTTGATATGGCCTTGTAAAGACCGAACAATCGTAGCAATAAGTCTTCCGTTTTGCAAACGGCCGATATGTAGGTCGGTACTGTATATCGTGGATTTTAGTGTTCGCCGCAATTGAGTGCTTCCATATTATGTTAGGATAGGCCACGTCGGGCCGTATGCTTCCCCATACATGATTCATCGGTGAATTTTAAGCTGTTTGGTTACTGTAATTATTCGCGATAGCCATCAGAACAGACTATATTCGGCTAATTTTGTAATTAAATCGTGTATACGTGTGTTGCGCCTATAACCCCACTCTGTAATGAAACTGACGTTAGTAAAATACAAACAGTACTATATTAGTTTCTGTAACGCCGTGAAGTCCGGTAGAATTACTCACGCCTTTCTATGATTTCCACCTGCTTTTGTTTCCCCGCTTTCTTGGTTGGCTTTTTGGCCCTGAAGATGGAGGTAAAAGGTAAAGTCGTCCCTGTGTCCAAGTAATGAAGCAGTACGCCATGAAGGCGTATGGGGAAGTGGATGTATAGGTCCACATTTTCTTGGCCTCGGTCAACTTCACACCCCGGCTGCTTTACCCCATAAAAAGAGCCCCAGGCGCCCATTGGATAGGAGGCTGGGTGGGCACCAGAGCAGGTCTGGACGATTTGGAGGAAATTTGACCCTACCGCGACTCGAACTCCGACCTCCTCGGTCGTCCAGCCCATAGCCAGCCGCTATACCGACTGATATCCTGGCTTCGGCATCAAGATGGAGGCAGTTTGTTTCTTAGGGACGTCTGTGAAGATCTCCCGAACTGTACGGCGTTACATCTCAATACTGTTTCGCTGTGAGAACGTCAGAACCGAGCGATGTAGTGACGACGTGCTCACGGGTTTCTGGTTCTGTCACGGCCCCCAAGACCTAGGTCTTTCAGCGGTGGCCTGACTACGCGTAACGGCTGGAACACCAAGTTGAAATAGGTCATGGTCGATTCCTTCTGCGCCTTAATTTAATCCATTCTTGATAAAGAAAGTTCGCTACTTGCCATTCGGCACCAAATCGTTTTATGCATTAGCGCCGAGGTAAGGAGATACGTAGAGTAGGCGATGTCGATGCTGCTCACGTGCAGATCACTTCCCCCCCCCCGCGTCTTTACCCGTACAGCAAGAAACACTCCGATCGAACGTTATGCGATGAATTAATATTTATCCGTGTTCCGATATGGAAATCTAGGAATTTTCCTTTGTGTTTATGTATGCTACAAGAGACATGTGGCAACAGGCTGTGCGTTGTGCTGAAGGAATTGTAAATAACATACCAGCACCCATCCGCTCCTCATACACACTTGTACGCTGCTACGTAAACACAGGACAACACAAACACAGAAAAGCGCATAAACACCTGAGTAGGATTCGAACCCACGTTCCCGGCTTCCGAGCGAGCGATGACAGTTCATGCCTTAGACCGCTCAGCTAACGTGACGGGCAGATATGTTAATAAGAAATTCAAATGCAAGGAAAGCAAGGGCAGAGGGATTCTGTACTTCTGGAAGTGCTTTATTGTAGATAAACTGAATACCGAAAGTAGACTGATTCGTTCATTATATTAGTTTCTTTTTATTTTCTTGGGGTGGGGTGGTGAGAATGAGTCCAATTTGTACGCCAGCCATTAATCGACCAATTGTACGAACCCCAGATGATAGATGATGAGTGTCGAGCCGTCGGTTGAATGAGAATTGGCAGAGGAAACCGAAGTAATCTGAGAAAAATCTGCCGCAGCACCACTTTGTCCACCACAAATCCCACATGACCTCATCTAGGCTCGAACCCGGATCGCCGCCGTGTTAAACCGGCAGCTTACCGCCTGAGCTATGGCGCGGCCCAGGAAGGAGTAGTTACAGTGGAGTGTAATTGAGAGTTGTACGCAAGTGAGCGCACTGCGTTTTGTAGTTTAGTGTTCGTTCGAACTTCGGTTGAGGGAACGTTATGTTACTGCTTTGTTTCAGTGTCACACGAATGATAGTGTTTGTATTTACTTAGTTTGTAAGTTTTCCTGATGTATAATGCAGTTAGTGTACTTTGCTGAACTTGCCAGGAGCGGGAAAGGTACGCGAACCGTATGTATTCTTGTGTGCTCTCTCGCAGTGTCCTCTATTAACTAAGCTTGGAGACACCAAGGGATTGCTACTGTAGTAATGCGTCATCCCTTTTAACGATCCGTATGTTTACTGCACCAGTGGGAAATCTATTTACGTAGCAGACTTGGAAATATAGAGATTTTCGTAGGAAATTTATATTGGTAAGAAAAAGGAGTTGGGGTAGTGCGGTCGATATAGCGACTGTCTTGAGTGCTGGACGACTTAGGGATCTGAGTTGGAGTCCCGGTAGGGTCAGAAATTTTGTCCACCTCGTCCATACTGGGTTTGAGGCCCACACAACATCGTATCCAGTGGGTCTCGGGTGTAAAACGTCCGGGGCTTGAAGCTGACCCCTCACTTCCAGCTTGTACTGAGGTCAAGAAAATGTGGATCTGTACACCCACTCCACCATACGCTGTTCATGGTATAGTGCTTAATTAGTTAAGCACAATGACTACTTTTCCTCTTGGTAAGAAAGATTATTCAAGGATTTAATAACTTTTTTTCTCGCACAGAGCTGCTTATTTAACGACGCTGTTAGTATCGAGACTGTGTATCATCAATAATATTATTAATGAGTGCGGAACGGTTGGTGGAGTGAGGGAACCGAAGTACTCGGAGAAAAACAGCCCCAGTTCCACTTCGTCCGCCACAAAACGTATCTGACTTGGGGTCGAACCCCGGACGCCGCAGTGGGTAGCCGGCGACGAAACCCCTGAGTTGTGGCACGGCCGTGAGTATCTCGCTAAGGACTGTTAGTCAGAAGTACTTAGGAGCATTATCGCATCATACATCACAAGGTCACCGCTATTTACAGAAGTGTGTCTGGACTAGTCATCATGGAGTGAACAAACTTTCGGATGTTGAAAGTAATGTTCTTTGTGCTTTTTGTTTTACTTGTGCAGAACTCCAGTGACTCGGACAAAACCGACAAAGACAAAGCACCGTCACCATTTGAGGCAAGCAAGAAGGATGTGGAAAACGGCAACACAACACAACCAAACGGCATCGTTCAGAATGGCCTTGTGGATGACGACAAAGCTTTCAAGTAAGTAAAAAAGTACACGTTGTTACGTATTTGATGCTAGTGAGAACTTGTTGAACTTGTGGATGGGTGGGGTTAGGATTACTGTTCTGTAAGATTAGATCGTTTCTAGTAGCGTTACAGATCCGTCTTTCCTTCCCCCAAAACTCTTTATGTTGGCCGCACACCGGCATGCGTCAAGACATGTAACAGTCAAGACACGATGTCTGTGACACAGGTGAAACGAATGAGATTATTCTGACGTCATGATTCAGACCGGTGTGCGGCGGTTTTCATGATCTCATTCGTTTCATCTGTGCTCCATTCTTTGCGTCATGTCACAGACGACGCATGCCGGTGTGCGCCACGCCTTAAAGTTACTTTTTTTTTGTTGCTAGTGGGGTTGGGACTCAGTCCCTTGTACTGCGGCCACTTGTGGCCTATTGTACCAGCCCCAGATGATAGGTGAGGGTAATTGTGGAGCAATTGATGGAATGAAGATTGGCAAGGGAAACCGAAGTACTCGGAGAAAACCTGCCCCAGCGCCACTTTGTCCACCAAAAATCCCCCTTGACCAACCCCGGGATCGAACCCGGGCCGCCGCGGTGGGAAGCCAGCGACTAACCGCTTGAACTATGGCGCGGCCTTAAAGTTACTACCCTTTTTATAAAGTGCGCGTAAGGCTGACAACCCCACCGCTATCTGTGAGTCCATTGTCTAGAAAATGTGGGAACTTCGACGTCTCACAACCCTACGGGCCTTCACTGCCTGTTACTGGGATAACTTTTAATGAAGTGAGGAGGTGTGTAAGTTTTGAATCGGTGAATGGTTTTCACAAAATTTGGCATCAACTTTACGCCATTATAGGCCACAGGAACGTAACTTTGTAACTATACAAAACTTGTTACTAAGTTTTGTTGGATACGCGAACTTTGCGACTTGGGGAGCGACATTGATGCCACGTGATGTCTCATCGTGGAGTTATATATACTCGTATAAGATTACGCAGGTTATGTTAAGCGTCTTATTTCAAGAACGCAAAATGACAGTTCTTCCGCCGTATGAACTTTTCATTGGCTTTCAATTTGACAGAGATAAATAAATGAACGTTTGATGCCAGGCATGTGGAATTCGGTATGGTGATGGACCATAAATATACCAACAATATTTGTACCTACCTACCTACCACTCGGTGCTACATCCTTGGGTGAGCTTTGGCCTCCTCTAACACCAGTCTCCGCTGCTCTCTATTGCTCATCTTCTCTATCCTTTCACCTTCATGTTCTTCAGGTCATCTCAACATCGTCTGGCCATCTTATCCTGGTTCTTCCTTTTCTTCTTTTGGAATATAGCTTTCCTTTTAACATTCTCATTGGCATTGCATTATCTTCCATTCATTCGACATGCTCCAACCATCTTATTCCCGGTGACTTGATAAATCTTTGTAACTTCTCCTTTCTGTAATGTGTGTATCTCTTCACTGTATCTTATCCTACATGTATTATTTTACATCACTGGTCCGTATATTTTGCGTATTATTTTTCTCTCGAAGTTTCTCAGCGCATTCTCTTCTGTCACTGTTAAGGTATATGTTTGTGCCCTGTATATATATATATAGTACGGTTTGCATGTGAAGATTTACAGACATAGCGAAGGTTTATAACTTTGAGGTTGTGACCGGTAGCGTAGACAGTACCTGTACACTTAACTGAGTCCTAACCACCGTTTTGACACGAAACTGCCGAATGCAGTGGGCATGTGATCAGTAATTGTCGAACTGAACATCGTGCCGCTTGCTGCACAAGAACAATGCTCTTGTTGGACGTGCTGAATGTTGTGAAATCTTACATGCAATGTCTTCTTCAGTTTGGTTACTACAGTCACAGTCCCAGAGCTTTCGTGTTCTGAGGAAGGCGTGAAGTAATATGAAGACATTTGCCGGCGATCCGTTCCTTTGGTACTCTTCTTGTGGAATCGATTTAATGTTTTACTGTCAATAAATGTTTAATGTGCGCGCACTCCGGACGAGGAGCTTGTCATGTCTCTTGAAAGTGCTCGGGTCACACCCCCTCCTTCACCGCCAACCACAGCAGCTACAAACACAACTTAAAGCCTAATTATCTTCCTCCTGTACAGACATTCTGCGGGTTTTTTTCTTGTACGTAAACCATGTTATGAAAGAAATTGTGTAGTAAGTGTAATTTAAAAAGTATATTTAACAGTGTAAGAATCTGTGGTTTTGTTGTGACATGATGCCTGAAAAATGTAATACAGACCGTTGCTTAGCAACGGCTAAGTAAACATTACTTCCCTCTACAACGGGTACGCAGGTAACAAGTTTGCAAAACAAGATTTCCGTGACAACCAACAGAGGACAATTCACTGTTCGACGTGACGCCTAAGCTGTTATAACAAGTAGTTAATTTGAGTATGTGAGTTAGTGGAGTTTCCCGTGTAAAGACGGGGTTGAGTAACTCCACCGTTGCCCTGCGAGCCATGGCGAGGGAAGGGGAACACAGTGCCTGGGGGTATAACCGATCCACCCTGTTCTGGGGAATCTTGGGGCGTGGGGGGTCCTAGCCCTCCAGGCTGGGGGACCCTCGAATCTGAGACAGTAAAACGTCATGAATTCCCCGGGACTCGGACCTGAAAATGATTGCACTGGCTAGGACCACTCGCCAGAGGGCTTCAACCGCAAGTGTTCAATTGGAAAATAAAATTACAGGTCGTGAGTCTCAGGGGCTTGTCGCCAAGATGAACTGATTGGCATAAACCGCCAGTCGTAAAGTAACTCTGACTCTGAGTAGAGATCCAGAATTCGAGAGACTAGAGAGCGGTCCTAGATTCAGACATCAGTTAGAGACTCGTTTTCCAGAAGGGATTCAGTGTGTTAGCTGTTATAATCGGCTGTGACTGAAGAAGTTGCAATAAGCCCAGTCATCAAATCTAGAACCCACAATTATTCGTCACGCAAACCCTTATACGAGTGAGCCAGGATACCTCAGTCGGTATAGCGACTGGCTACGGGCTGAACGGCCGAGGGTTTGGAGTTCGAGTCCCGATACGGTCAAGAATTTTCTCCACGTCGTGGGGACTGGCTCTGGGGTACTGGGCGTGAAGCTGACGACACCTCCAAATATTGCCGAGGTCTAGAAAATGTGGATCTACACATTCACTTCCCCATACGTCTTCATGGCGTAGTGCCTAATTGGTTAAGCACAGGGACAACTTTTTACCCCTTATGTATGACACTGTCATGGACAGTATAGGTGTACCACTTAAGGCAAACAAGAAGTGGTGTATTTCTATACAACCAGCATTGTGATAATAGATATACCGAATTTTATTGTAATTGTGGCGTGAGTTTTAATGAACAGGGGCCTAAATTTGGATAACGTTTGCTCATTTTGTTTTTAGTACGTGCATTTCCTCTTACTGCCCAGCATCGTGGTAGAATGGGTACAACATTGCTTCGTATTTGGGACGTATTGCGCGGTTGGAAACTCTGTTAACCAAGCCAGGAGTAAAGTTACGAAAGCACTGCTGTTATTGAGTAGGGCTTTGAAGATGAATTTGAAATTAAATAACGCTTTAAGAATTAATGAGTTTTTTGTACTTTGTCCATTGTCCATTGTCCGGTATTCTCGAAACTGAAGACCAGCGTTTCGGATATTGGATGTGTTTCTGTCCTCAGGTGAGATGGAGACATCTACTCTGTTGGGCCACTTATAAAGAACTAACTTAAATCGGAGGAAGCAGACCCAGTTTCTGAAACGTGTGTTGTCTAGGTTCTAGAATACCTAATGATAGATGTAGACCTAAAACCCAGTAATTCTGATTGTTTTACACCTTTAGAAATTACCGAATAACATTTTTGAGAGGTAGAAGTTAACAGTTATAAACAGGGCCCGGGATTTTGATGACCTGAAAATATTTAAAAAACGACCTAAAGGAGAAAAGAAAGAAAAACACTTCGCTTCCATATTATTCAGATTTCAGAAAACATGAAGAAAAATTCCCTAAAGTGGCCAAAAATGACAAATACCCTTAAAAGTCCAAAAAATTACCCCCCAAAATGAAAAAAAATGACCTTAAACGTAAAAATGTCAAAAAATTACCTATAAAATTTACATTTCTGTAACCATCAGCTCATATCCGAGATTTATATCTTAAGAGCATTGCATAGGATACAAGGAAAAAAGATGACATGTCATCAAAATCCGGGCCCTGGTTATAAATAGAGGCGTAGGGACAAGGCATTTATACTACCTGCAGTGACGGTTAAAAGTATTGACCAAATTTTATGAGAGTTATCTTTGTTGTTAAAGTTAGCGTGTTCGTATTTGGCAGGCATGGGTTTCAGTCTCCTTTCGTGGAGTTTTTTCATAAAATTCATTTAGCACACACATTGGTACGAGTTTTAAGCACGCTGTTGTTTAGACTAGGGGTTGTATAACTTTATGATACCTTAAATCCTTAAAATAATACATTATTTTTGCTCCCACCCCTGCAGGTCAGGGATAAGTTCAGTTAGCGAGATATTTCCAGATCCCTACGACGTTGTAGGGTGACGGCAGGAACTCAAATAGCTTTCCAAACCACAGCTACAGCAGGCAGTAGATAATGATTGTACAGTTACGACAAAAATTCGTAAAGTATTAAATCTTACCGACTTCCAAAACTGTACGCGGATCTAGAGCTTGAACTAAATTTTTTAGAATTCGGCAACACACACACACACACCATAGTAGATCGATAGCGATATCTAGAAAAGCCACTATTTTAAGATATTAAGGCTGGGGCCACACGAGCGCACGAAGTACGCCTGCTTCAACGAACGTACGTTATGACGGACGTTGCTGAGGACACCACACAGTTGCAGAGGTGCGTAGTTTTTTTTATCTGCAATGGAGCCAGAAGAAAGCGTAGCATTCGCCTCTCTTGTTTATTTCTACAACAGACGCATTTTGTGTGCTCGTGTGGCTCCAGCCTAAGCGTTTGTTCGACTCCCGTACATCCGCGCGTTTGTCTTGTCAGTATTGATGAAGTTTATGTTGCACGCTAACTTTTCAGCGGCAAGCATTTAAATGATCCGCTTTTGTCGCTTTACCGTCGGTGTGAAATTTGACGCTTTTCATGAACTAGAAACGTAGGCATTGAATCGCGAATGGAATAGATTGTAGACGAACATTCCAGTTTTTTATTTTCCCACGCCCCCATAAAAGGGCTATGAATTTGATTTGTCTCATTCTGGTCCGTCACACCAACAGTCACAAAATAGATATCTTACAGTCCAGTGCTACACACAAGAGGACCGAAGTGTGGTGAACTTGTGTGTCGCACTGGACTGTAAGATATCAATTTTGTGGCTATGAATTTATTTTTATCTGGTCTCTTAAGCATTTTTTTCTCTTCGGGTATTCATGTGAATTTGGAAATTCGTCCACATTGCATTCAGATTTTGTGGCCTGTTTCACGACGGTTTCCTTACCGCAGACCATATGACGTAGAATGGTATGACGAATGAACTTAAATGGATTTGGAAGAGAAATAGTCGTGGCATATTTCAGGTAATATCCTTGAATTTTCCCAGCGGGACTGAATGAACCCACGAAAAGCCTGATATCGGGAACGCCAATGTCGCAGCCAGGATTCAACCCGAGAAGTTTATGTATTCAAGTCTGCACGGTTGCCACTAGACCAGCCTGCGTTCAGCGATACTGTATGGTAGCTTTTAGCTTCGAGTGCTCAGAATAACATCGGCCCCTTTGATGAACTCACAACCGTTTCTGCTTCCAAAGATAATTCCATGATATGTAAACATTACGGAGATTTCTAATTACGAAGGCCGAGATAGGCTGCATAGACGTGTATCGCATGGGTTTATATCTGCCAGCAGGTGGGGGAGAGATACAATTGAAGGCTAAGACATATTTAACAACTTGAAAATTACACCGATGTCGCTCGCACGTGTAAGAGTGGTGTAACTGATACTGCCAAGAGGAAGCGACCTGAACGCCATCTAGTGACATCTCTGCGATTTACGTGATACCTGGAGTACACAGTACGACCGGTAGATGGCAGAAGTGATCCAACATGGGGATATTGCGGGATGATTGAAATAAACATCGAAACGCAGGTTTGCCATTAATAACCTGATATTTAAATCAATATATCAACCGGACGCATAGAAATGCGAGAGTTGCAGTTCTCAGAGCGGTGCCCTCCCATGAATATGGAAGTATGGATTTTGTCCGAAACAATGGGAAACATTTACAAGACGTTACTGCGACATTAATGCAGTATTTCTTGTACATTTTGGAATTAAACTCCGAAATATGTTATTGATTAATTTAATTACAATATAATGTGTTTTATTTGTTTGTAATTGTGTTATATTACGGCTTTCAAGAAGGAATTGTAAGAATACGCCTCGTTAATATTTTAAATACAAGATATTTACCAAACTTAATGATTTGTTTTAAATGTGAGGTATGATTCCCTTGATTGTAATGAAATTATGACAGATTATATCGATTTAATTATTAGAAATGATAAAACAATTTTGTCCGTCATTTGTAATATTGTTATTGTGACGGACCAGAATGAAACAAATCAAATATCGATTTTAATTGATATAATTTCCCTGATTTTACTGTAATTGTACTGTACCCAGTTAATATGTAGTAACATCAGGGTAAATGAGTGGGACATATGGAACTCAGTTATGCACATGAAATTTTGCTTGAAAAATAAAAGAAGAGACCATTTTTGGAGGCAGAAGCATTGCTGAGACAATAATATTAAAATATGTTTTAGATATGTGGGATGTAGTATGTGAATTGGATTCAGTTGGCATAGGTTAGGACCAAGTTGTGGGTTATTTTTGGGAATGGTATCGAATCTTTGGTTTTATAAAAGCCGAGAATTTCATGGCCATTCATTTGACAGTAAACTTTTCAAGAAAGGCCAAGTTTAGGCGCCTCTTGTTCAACCTTACGTTAGAGCTATATTTGAAGTGAATGTATTATACGTGGTTCTGTATGTACACCACACAGATGATGATGCTGCATGTTTGATAGGAATTGCCGTCAGATCGAGACATGAAGTCATTTGGCTTGCTGATGTGTGGTGATGTTTATGGTGTTCATTAGTTTGAGATTAATTAATTTTATGTTAAGTTTCGTGATTTTGGATGTTGGTAGCATGGATTTGGTGGGTAGGTAGTGAATATAAGACTCAGACTGTGTTTTCTCAGTTGGTGTTCATGCTGACATTATATTTTTTAGTCTTTCAGTGTCTTTCTTGCTTGCTTCCAGCCGGACACCAGGCAGCAGACAGCCCTCTCCAGCAGAAGAAGACATCAACAAGAACAGTGGCAGTGGTAGTAATGTGGTTGTTATGGGTGGAGGGAAACCGCCGTCATCGGAAGGTGTGGAGAACCACCACCATCATCCTCACCACCACCCTCACATTAACCACCATTCCATTGCACATCATCCGAACCACCCCCAACACCATCTTCACCAGCAGCAACAGCAAGCCGCACACCACATGCAAAACCACCATCTCAACTTGGACAGCGTGAATCAGCATTTCGAACATGTAATGGCGATGGATCCAAGCGGAAGCGCTATGGCGCAATTTGATCAGGCAACAGCCGTCACGGGTTATGCAGGAGGCGCTGGTGTTCCTGGTGGTCCCGGAATGCTGCCTCCACAACAGCAGCAGCAAGGCGGTGCCGGGGTTGGCGGAGGATTGGATTCCCCCAGTATCCTGCCTCCCAACTTTGACGTACAGGTAGGTGAGCATTTAAATTTCATCATATCATGTTTATTGTTGTGTTTTTATACTGATAGGGATCATAAAGGCCAAGAATTGATGTCTATTGGAGGTGTGTCGCTGCTAGAACATAATTTCAGAAGTCTTCAGAGCCTGATTAATTTGTAGTCATGAGACTGCTGAATTATTTTCAGGCTGGTTCACTGATTGGCCTATTGTAGCCTGCCCCAGGTGATTACGATGATGGAGAATTTGGTGGAATGAAGATTGGCGGGGGAAACTGAAGTACTCGGAGGAATCCCGCCCCAGTGCCACTTTGTCCACCACAAATCCCACTTAACCAGACCCGGGATTGAACCCGGGCTGCTGCGGTGGGAAGCCAGCGACTAACTGCTTGAGCTATGGCGCTGCCCTTTCAGGCTGGTTACTGGTGTAGTCAGTTATGTATTTAGATTCATTGTCACTCTTCCAGAAAGTTAATTTGCATATAGAGGATGGTGTATGCAATTTGTGGCCAATACAATGTTTAGTGGGTCATTCCATGTCTGATCAACACAAAAGGATGACACATAATTCATCATGCACACAACAGTTAAGTTTTATGTGTCCAAAAACTTGTGGTATTGTTTTTAATATTTCTAAAACATGTGTGCTGGTGGTGGCATAAGGGAGTGACTGAAGAAGACCTCAGAATCCATTCAGGATAGCCTTTGTCCTGATCAGGATTTGTACCAAGCCGTGCTGAAATGCAGGTCTAGAAAGTAACCACTACAGCAGCATACTCATTCAGTGAAGTGTATATAGTGTTAATAACTGTAACAGTTTGTGGCTGAAATTGCTGTAGGTTTTGTAATGTCTTAAATAACCCGTCTGTTAAGCCATCATTTGGGATCAGTGACTGAAATAACTTTTGGTCACAATTAGTTTTTTGCCAAAAAATACAGCGTTCTTTCCTAAAATTGTATTGTAACTTTCCTTGGCATGAATGTGACCAGAATTTAGAATAATTATTAATAAAGGTTATCAAATCTCAGGAGACAGGAATCAAGTACACCCACTTTACTTCAAGACCTGATTGCTGATTTAAGTGTATTGGAAGTATGGTATGAAACCTGATAAGATAAAGACGCATTTTGTTTACCGTATACTTTGTAGAAGAGGCTAACTGGTTGTTGAGAAGGTAGGCTGAATTTACTATTATCCGCATTGCCTTATGTGTAATGTAATTCTCTGATTTATAAACTTAAAAAGTTTTCAAGTTATCAATCTCATATTACTGTCTGTATGTGAGAGTTAAATTTGTGCCTAACGATTTTCATTATCAGCATAGCATTATTAGTACTTTATGTAAGAATATGTATAATAGACCTGGTATCCAAGACCTTAGTTTGTTGCATGCATAAAATTAATGAACTGAAATTGTTAAATTCTTCAGTTGGTGAAGTGTCTTGTAAGACTCATAGGAAATGCAGCATTTCTGAACTTGTTGGTACATGATAGCTGTCGTTTATGACCGAGGTGCATCATGCCCACACATCGGATTACCAGGGTCGGAAAAATCTTCTGTTTCTTAATAATTCTTTTCTCTTTATTTTTCTGGATGTGTTGAACAAATATATACAGGATGTGCACTATAGCAGAAAGCTGTAACAGTTTATGGCAGCCAGCCTTCTCTTCAATTGGATATGCTGTAGTATACATATAATGTAAGTAGCATTATTCTGTAATGGTGTGGTAGGTAGGCCGGCATGGAGCAATAGATAAGTTTCTTTTGTGCTAATTGTCAGATGAGTAGAATTCATGAGCTGAGGGAACACTTTTTGTCCTGACTTATCCCGCTTTTTGCTGTTGTAACTTCAGAGAGAAGACTCGTTTGTTATAAAATAATAAATGCTTATCCCCACATTTTTTGAGTACCGAAGGTTTGTTACCATGTAGCTGAACCATAGGTTTCTTCAGCTAATTCAGGCTACACCCTCGCTCTCTATTAACAGCCATTTTAATATTATCTTACCGTTACGTCTCAAGTGAAATACTTTCCTCAAGTTATCTGTGAATATTTTTTTTATGTATTTTGCTTCCCACATTTCATCCATCCATCATGATTGATTATAATCAATACAATANTGTGGGGGGGGGGGTCTTGAATATGTAGGAATGTTATTTGTGGTGGTTAGGAGACGTGTTCTTAGATTAGGTACGTAGTTCTGAAGTTCTGCGGGAGATGTCGCGTTAGCGCGCTTCTCAATGCGCTCTAGCGGTCTTGGGAGTAACTTTGTGCAATGTCGTGTGAGGTTTATCTCGTAGCCCATTGTGTATTCTTCGTTTTTAATTTCCTCTATTTATTTTTGTTGCTAATTTTAGAGAAAGCAATGCACGTGGCCTTCCTGAAGACACTGAAGCACGATATTTAGAACTGTCGTTAAAGGCTTCGAAAGTTATTACTGACGCCGTCGTTGATGGTTAAATTTAGGTCCTCCCCCTGCAGTATGGAGTGACGATAATTCCTCCCTCCCATTGCTTCGTGTCAGCTCGTACCGCCCTCTGAATTCGGTGTTTTGCGTCTTCGTCGAGGGCCGTAGTATCTGCATTTTGGCTTGACTGAAGTTCATGCCCCCCCCACGTCTTAATACTTTGACTGTTGCAAGTAAGTGCATTCCGCGCACACTGACACTGCCAATGGTTACCGTTATGTGTGCGGCGTGAGGAAATTCGGTATCGTAGCAGATTTGGCTTGGGTGACTCACGCGTAAGGAATATTTGGCACCCGACGCAAACGCAACTGACGATCAGGCGGAGCCACAGAGGAGCAGCTGGCCTTGACGTTACTACCACTTCCAGATTCATTATTCTCGGGTTTCCAGTGACATGGACGCAGGCGATACGTACTTCAGAACAATAGTCACGATATTAATGTGCAACTCAAGGCCGCGCCATAGCTCAAGCGGTTAGTCGCTGGCTTCCTACCGCGTCGGCCCGGGTTCGATCCCGGGTCTGGTCAAGTGGGATTTGTGGTGGACAAAGTGGCGCTGGGGCAGGTTTTCTTCGAGTACTTCGGTTTCCCCTGCCAATCTTCATTCAAACAGATTCTCCATCATCATAATCATCCGGGGCACAGTAGGCCAACCAGTAGCCGCCGTGCCGAGTGGACCCAGTTGGACTCTACCCCCCACTAAGCAAATTAAAAGTAACTTGGCGGAGATTCGAACTGGGTACTCTTGAATACAGCTTGCATGCTAATCATGTTTGTGTATGGATCATTATTTATTCCAGAACAGTGATAACCGAACGTCACTGTCGAGTAATTAATGGTGCTTTGTATTCGGAAGTACCCGGGTTCGTATCTTGCCTCGGAGACGTTCTTGGCGCGTCTTGCCCGTTGAAGTAAATGCTGGGATGGAAGCTCACATTGGACCACGGCTACCCCCACGCCTTTCCCTTTCAGTCACGCTGTTTTCTGTATTTCCCTCAGGCGCATTCCCCGTGAACAATTTTTCCGCAATCCCCCTCCCCCCCAAATAATGTTCTTACTCTTCTCAGCAGTGAGGACCCCGCATCGGCTTACGTCTCAGCATGATATAGTTTTGTGAGCGTTGCCGTTTCAGCTGTCATATTAACTTTGGCGAGGGATGAACATACGTGTTTGGTGGACAAGCCAGAAGCAAAGAGACCGCTAGGAAGACACAGACTTAAGTGGGAGGGTAGTGTCAGAATGAGCGCTGGAGAGGTAGGATGAGGCGGTATGGAGTGGATTGATCTGTCTCAGAATAGGGACCAGTGGAGGACTCTTGTGAACACAGTAATGAATCTATAGGTTCCGTAAAGCGTTGAGAAATTCTAGAGTAGTTGAGCGACTGGCGGCTTTTCAAGAAGGGTTGTTACTTCGTTGAAACCTTCCTGCCGGGTACCAGCTATCCGTTACGTTTTAATGTTTTGTGTGTGGTTTACCGCCGTATTTCCCAGTTTGATTCTTGTTTGTTTTTCATTGAATTTGGCGGCCCAAAAATTGCAGTGCGTCTTGCATATGGAAAGGGGTGGGGGTGCATACATATTGGAAGCGCCGTAAGAAGTCAGTTACTTCTTGTGTCAGTAAAAGTCATACATCTTGTTTGCTAAAGAAAATAATAATTTGTATTGTATTTATTTATATTATATAATTTGATTTATATTTTGGTAAACCGTTATACATCGTAACATTCAGCGGCCTGTCTTTGTGGAAACAGCTGCAGTTGCGAAGGGACCTTACGCATGGGACGTTGGGTGAGTGTGTGTTGGGATATCGTGCCGTCCCTTGGCAACGCAGTCTTGTGGTTACCGCGCGAAAGACTTGGGCATCCCGCCCCGAGATCATTCCAAGTTTTGCAGCGTTCGTGATGGCACGCATTATCCGGATTCACTTTAGGCGTGACAGATGCCGTACGCTTGATCGTCCACATACGCGGAAGTTAAGAAGTGAAGCAGCTTATCTCCGAGACCTTGGCATGCCACGTAGATGTGCACATACCCCAGATAACGCCGGTGTTCATATACAGTGTGATTCTAAGTTATTGTCGGTGTTTCCGTGGCCTGTAAACGGAAACCCCGGCAGTAATTGTCTTCGTCTGTTGGCAGGAAATTTGATCTGTTGCGACTGTGGCGAATAAATAAATTGGCCAACATGAAGAGGTTCACGGATATGGAAGTTCTTGGGTTATGTGGTGCAAATGATTAACGTGTTGGTATGCTGGCAGTTAGAAGCTGCAAAAATGTGTTTGTTGGTTTCGTAATCATATTCTTTTAACAGTTTCGACGATTTTATTTGAGCGTATGTTTGTCCCTTGCGAATACTTGGCATGTACACTGATGGGCGCATGGCGAGTCCGGAATGAAAACGTCAGGCGTCGGTTATGAAGACGTTACTTTGTTGGAACTGCCTCAGTTTGGGCCATGATTTCGATTAACGCTCACGTAAATCCACATAAGCTGTTGGACTTATCCTAGCCCATGCTTTGTTGCGATTTTCTCTCACCTCATTGGCC